CTTGGAAAATGTATGTGCTCAATGACTCATGCCAAGTTTGTGTGCTGTGGACCACTTTCTTAACAGCAGCAACATTTATATGGTCATAACTGAAGTTTTTTCTAATTTAACACCCCATTAAGAGGAATGAGAGGAAATGACATTTGCACCTTTGTCAGTGATGTTGCTTCAAGTCCATCTCGGTCTGGATGCAGATGCAACAAGACAGCCTCCCATTGATTTACAAGGCTGCCTCTCGGAAGATGCGGGGTCTGCATCCCTCCCCTCCCCCGCTCCCAGACATTCTAGAAAATGCAGGTGCGCACATGCTGGCGTATTCCGTTAATGGCACATCACTCACTACCACACCGTAAATACTGGATGGAAACAATGGCTATTTTAATAGCATTTTCATTAGCTTGATGCGTTCTTGCAGAGTGAAATCTAGGCTACCGTTATGTTCCAACAACAGTTTGAAAACCAGCAGAATCATATTTAGTTACCTGCTGGGGCATCTTGGCATTGTGAAGCAAGGAGAACCAGAAGGGAGGGCAGAAAGGGGGAAATGAGGGGTGGGGGAAGCGAAATAGTATATAGCAAGATTTCTATCCGAAGTAGCAGGATAGAACCAAGTCCTATCTGAAGAATCGGGAGGCAGGTAAACCTCAGGTGGCTAACAAGCATGGCAGACACTTCCAAGACTTGTCAGGGCAGAACTGGAGGCTGTTTTAGGCAAGGCAAGCCCTGAAACCTAAAATATGCTGAGGTCATGACAATGTGGAAGGGGGATTTGCAGAGGAGATTCAGGAAGCAGTAGGGGGGAGCTTAACCTGGCCCTCACCTACTGATACTTCCCTGCAAATGCCCTCTGAAATATGCGCCTCCCTCCACACAAAAAATAAATAAATAACAGGCTTATTTCTGAAATTGGCTGTTTGTTTGCACATTTACTATATCTGCATGTGTGTGTGCCCTGGATGGAAGTTCAGTAGGTGATCAGGTAAGGATTTGTGAGTAAATGTTCTAGTAACTCACAGTAAACCATTCTCTGCTCTGGCTTGTTGGGGTTTTCCGGTGTTCCAGATAAGACAACAATGGATGTCTCAATATCTTCAGCATGAGGAACTGATTTTTCTAAGAGAAGGAGATTGTTTATCAAGGACTGATAAAGCCATTCTTTACTAACTTATCTGGTCATTTCAACTGTCTCAAAATTGGTCCAAAAAAGGATATAACCCCTTACATGCTGCTTCCATGAAATACATTGGGGAAAGGGGATGGGTCAACAGCAAAGTTTGTTATCTACTGGCCTAAGAGAGCACTTGGAAGAATTAAGTTCAAGTTCTATCTATGTCATGGACTTACTGAAAGGGTGACTGTCTATTGGTTTCTGCTGCCCAGATGCTCGTGGAGAAGAGGGTTATTGATGGCTGCTACCCATGATGGCTATCCACAGTTTCAGGCAGCAATGCTTCTGAACATCAGTTGCTGGAAACCATGGAGTGGGGGGGCGGTATCCTTGTGCTCAGGTCCCACTTGCGGGTTTCCTACGGACATCTGGATGGTGACTGTGGGAACAGGATGCTGGACTAGATGGGCCACAGGCCTCATCCAGCAATGAACTTCTGTTATTATGTTCAGATGCAAACTACCAGGAATAACATGGATCCAACTCAAAGGGCAAGGGTGGCTAACTTGTGGTCCTCCAGATGTTGTTAGAGTCTAACTCCCATTGGCCCCAGCCAACATGGCTCACAGCAGTAGCTGTCAAAGCAGTCAAGGCTGGTAAAAGGTTCTTCATTAGAAGCTCAAGTGACATCTGTGGCTTGAGGCACCTTGGATCAGTTGGGACTGGTACACCAAGTGAGACCTTACCATGACGGAGACAGCTTGGCCAAAATTACCCAAGCCATGGTAACCTCCCATTTAAACATATCAATGCATTATATGTGGGCAGCTTTTAATAAAATATTTTTTTTAAAAAAAAAAGTCCAGAAATTGTCATTGGTTCAAACAAGGTGATGGACCAGGACTGGGAATTTTGATCACATTATGCGGTGCTTTGTCAGCTCCACCTGTTCCCGGTCCATTACCAGGCCCAATTTAATGTGCTAGCTTTAACCTTTAATGATCCAAAGCCAGGTTACCTGAAAGATCACCTTCTTCCTTATGTACCTTTATGCACTTCATCAGAGGGTCTGATGGCTATGAACAGGAAGAGAGCCTTTTTAGTGTCATCCCCACCCTCTCCAGTCATGGAACAGGCTTTCTAGAGAGGTTAACCTGGGGCCATCATCCTTGGGGCCTCTGGGTGCCAGGAAAAGCGTTTCTTCTCACCCAGGCCTTTTAAATCATTCCAATTTTTACTCCCATTTTTTTAAAAAATCTGCATTTAAAAATTGTGGCTGTGTGGTGAATTTTGTTTCCTTCTTGTTTTTATGATACTTTCTAGTTGATGGATTTTATTTTTTGTTTTGGATTCAACTCCTTTTTACACTTATCTGTTGCAAAGCACAGATAACTTTATGCTACGGGACGAAACAGAAACATTGCTAATAAACAGTACATGCAGAAATGGGTCAGGATATATTCTACCCCTTCTTAAAATGCACCTTGGTCTAGTGCATCTAAGACTGGTGCTTTAAACGTTCTGTAGCAGAATGGCTAACTCTAATGTAACAGCTAAGCATTGGAAGACTCTGAACTCCCCCATCTGTGTTTTCCTTCCCCAGAGGGGTGAGCACACTAAGCAGCAATTCCCTTGCTTGGCACATAATCTCTAAACCTTACGGGCAAAGCTAGCGATTTCCCAGTCCGAGCAGATTGGCAGTCGAGATCACTTGTTTGACATACTGTGGGGAGCCCGACACTTACCTTATTAAAGGACGGCCCTCTGAAACGCAGCACAGTTAAATAAACTGTTGCCACCATAATTGTTTAGCAAGCACACTGCTGATAATATTATGAATTGCCGCTAATGTCTGGTTAGTAAATTAATACGGGAGTATCATTTAGTGTTAATTCCAGTGAGTTTCCTGAAGTTAAGTATATGAAGAGGGATTAGTTTCCTTCTAGCCTGCAATACGCCTAAGGAGAATGGCAGAATCACACAGAGCAAGGCCTAAGCCAACTGTATCGAGATACAAGAAACGTTTTGAACCTGGGATGCTAGTCTGCTGAGAACTTGCTTGCCAAACTCTGGACTCTGGTGATCAGGCTGGCAGACTTCAAACTGACGGCATGCAAATAAGGGCTGCAGGATGAGGCAGTTTGACTCCAGGCCCTCTCATGCCCCTTCATGGAGACTTATCTTTGTTTTTCTTAGAAGTCCACTTTTCGAAGAACCAGGAGGACGCTGTCATCCTAATGTTTATTAATAACACCTTAATAAATTAGTAATAAACCGTAATTGATAGCAGCTTTTATCAACTCGGCTCAATTGTCATCTGAGGGTTCTCCACAGAAAAGATTTAAATGTTTCATTTTATTTTTAACTTTCCCTTTCCTCTATTTCAGTAATGTCAGGCAAAAGAGGTATGGTTTTACTATGTGAACGAATCATGGTGCAGAATAATTTATGACTTAGGCTCAGGCTTTCAGAAAAAGCTATTTCAAATCTTCACTTTGATTTGGTTGTATCAAAAACTACTCAAAATAACAGCAGAGGCTCTCACAAGTAGAATGCCTTTGCTGCACCTCAAGGAGAGCTAGATGTACTGTGCTCCATACCCAGTATTCAAATTAGCTGCCAAAAGAGAGTGGGGGAGGGAGAGAGACCCCCTTCACAGGCAGCGCAAATTAACTCAGTTTGCATATGGCTGTTGTGTTTGAGTATTCTCAGAATTCAGGACATTTGACAAGTATGTAGAGAGGAAGGAGAGGGTGAGGGGCTGGACAGAGTAGCAGCATCCAAACAAGGAGGTCAGGGGGAGCCCTACACATTACCAGTAGAAGCTTACAGTCCAACAGTGACTTCTGCCCATTTAAAGATGATTCCTGCATCAATGAGGACTAGGGACCGTGTTGCCAAGTGAAAGCTGAGGTGCTCACACAGTGAGTAAGAATTTTGTATATAACCCATGCAAAAAAGACAAAGCTGTATGGGATACATAGCTAGCAGGCACTTACAAGTTCACGGAAACTCATTCCAGAGCACCTTCTGGCTTGTAAGATACTGAAACTTTTTTTAATTTTTTGGTTATCAATAAGTAACAGGAGCCTAAGGGTTGTGAAATATAAAACATTTATTCCACAGTGAGTAGGTCCTTTGAAGCCTCTGGTTCCAAGTACTCATAGATAGAAAACAAATTCACCGATAAACTAATACCCATGTTAGAAACTAAACTAGAATATGGGAAACTAAAGTCTGGGCACTGAAGCAGAGGGCAGTATCCAACTAACATGTCCCATCAGCACTCAGAACTTCCTCCCTCTCCTTCCTCTGCACTCCCCCTAAATACGTTCTGTGCGTTCACCCAACTCTCCGAAGGTGATTTCAGAAGGTTGTGGGGTGCACACAAGGCGGGGGAGAAGTTCCATTGTGCAAATTGGAAACCATTGGCTGACAGAACGAGTTCGTTGGATACCACCCAGCATCTTGGACATGCACCATAGAGCAAAACATACAGGTGCAACAGATTCTTACCCACCTACCACCACAAATAGTTTCAAGGGACAGTTTCTGTAGAACTTTGGCACTTTTGCCTTCATTTTACAGAAATAATTGGCCAGAATTCTGTCAACAGCGTCACTCAAGTTCCCCATTTAATCCCCTTTCCCTAGTCCTGTCTACCCTTTGAAATGAAGTTTCAAGCATAATGCGACAATTATTTTCAGCTAACCACTACAGAGATAAATAGATCTGCACTGTCCACCCTCTTCAGTGCAGCCCAGTGGATGGGGGGTTTCAGGGGATGAGGTCCTGCAAAAGAAGAATTGTTAAGAGTATATATATATAATCTTGGTATGGAGGAGGGTAACAGAGGGGAGGGTGTTCAGTAAAAGATGTGAGTATATCTTACCTTAGCAGCTTAACTGCATACTTGTTTTAAGGACTGTCAGTCTGGTTAGAAATCACTCAGTGAGAGGAGGCAGCTGAGCCTGGCACTGACAGATTGCCAAATGGGCGTCCCACTTCC